TTCTGAAAAGGGCATCAGATTCCCTGGAGCTGGAGTTACAGGGGGTTGTGAACCATCTGGTATGGGTGCTAGGAACTACTCAGGTCCTCTGAAAGGGCAGCAAGCACTCTCAACTGTTGAGCCATTTCTCCAGCGCTCAGATAATCTTAATTGATTACTACTACATGATATACACACACTTATTATCAAAAGTTAAAAGTTAGCTGGGCACAGTAGCACAAGCCTTTAATCCCAGCATTTGAGAGACAGAGACAGGCGGATCTCTGTGAGTTCAAGGCCAGCCTGGTCTACATAGTGAGTTCCAGGCTAGCTGGGGCTATGGGGAGACCCTGTCTCAAAAACACCAAAAAATAAAGTTAAAAAAAGTTATCAAACATATGCACACAAATGCAGAGCATGAATAGTGCCATTTGAAGTGGAGTGAAATACAAGCCAACAGCTACATTTTGAATGATAACTGGCACAGTTAAGTCATAACATTCTGTACTGCAACAGCTTTGTCCTGTCGCCACTGCAGTGGGTTTGCATTCAAGTGTTCCATATGCTCAGAACACCATGACACTCGCCACCTTGAGCAGCACACCTTCAGTAAATTCCCTATTGCAGTAAAAAGTGACCACCACATACACGTATATACAAAACATGTTCAGCAACTATGTTGTCAGTTAAGGCTTCCCAAAACAGCAGACTTGTGGAAGAGTTTCTTTCTGAGGGGAGTCAACTGTGTGAGTTAGTGCCCCTAACTCCAAAGTTGTTCACAGTTTAGCTGAATGATATTTAATCTTCACAGCAGCTCTATAAGGCAGGGACTCTAATTTCCTTTTACTGATGAGGGAAACAGAGGTCCACTTTGTTCAAGGTCATGTAGCTCTTAACTCTGGCTCCAGAGCCCACATCTCTAGACTCCTAACTGGGGTTTCCCCAAATTCTGCATGTAGGACTTCTGGGAATGTACAACAGAATGAGAGAGTCCCTCCCCTACTGTAGCTGAATCCATCCCAGGGGGTCGGGAGGGGGGGAAGCCTGGGACCAGGGGACCTTGAAGCCACCACACTAGCTGTGGCTGCACTAAGGAGACATCAATGGCAGACTTAATTCATCCCTGCTGGTGTTTTCTGTCCCTTGAGGCAGAACATAATCTTAACTCACACAGCACAACCTAAAGATGAAAAATGCATTACCTATCTACACTCCCACATATGACTCTTAAGCACTCACTCTGCATTTCTAGTTGTGGTTAACCAGGCAGATGCAGTCAGGTCCTGACTTACACCTGAGTTACCTAAGTACACACGTGGCCACAGTGAACCATGAGGTGATGAAGCTTCTCTGGCAGTGCACAGCTAGGGGATTCTGTTTGAGTAACGCTCTAATCACCCACTTGGTTTGAAAGAATGGAACACTTTACATTAAGACTGCTTTCATCCATACTCTGTTTTGCTTTGTTCTTTGAGACGAGGTCTCCCTGTGATCCCTGCTGGTCTGGAACTCACTTTGTAGACCAGACTGGCTTGTCTCAGAAATCTGTCTCTGCCTCACAAGTGCTAGGATTAAAGGCATGCACCACCACACCTGGCAATTTTTAAGAGACTTTTGAGTGTATTTACTAGAAATCATGGACCTTGGGCTGGAGAAATGGCTCAGCCGTTGAGTACTGACTGCTCTTGCAGAGGACCCGGGTTTGATTCCCAGCACCCACATGGTGGCTACGAACTATCCTAACTCCAGTTCCAGGGAAATCTGACACCCTCTTCTGACCTCCACAGCATTGCACAACATGGGTGGACTCACATACATGCAGGCAATATATTCATACACATAAAATAATTTAAAAAAATAAAAAAATCACAGACCTTAGATTTTCTATTTTCACTGTCTAGACCCCACTAATCTGAGTTTAGAGACTAGTCCATTTGAAATTAAAGATTTTTAGAAAATGTTGCCAGACATATTGGTGCATATCTGTAATCCCAGCACTCAGAAGGTAGAGGAAAGAGAAATGTCCAAAATTTGAGGCCAGCCTGATCTATATAGTGAAGTTTTCAGGCAGGGCCTTGTAAACTAGGCAGGCCTTGAACTCACAGAGATCTGTGCCTCTGCCCCAAGTGCTGGGATTAAAGGCATGCACCACCAAGTCTAACCCCAAAATGGTATTTCAGGGTGGCCCAAGAGTGCCCCCCACCATTGCTGAGTGGTGTATATGCAGAAATTTTTGTGAGAAAAATGACCCTGTTTCTGACATAGAAGGATCACTCAGATGACCAAAGAGGCAAAGTTCAGGCCACCAGCCATTGTCCTTGGTGGAACACGGGAGTGGGACAAGCCATACAAAATTTACTGTGGATGGATAAAAAGGAAAGCCATGATGGAAACTTCAAGTCAGCACCCAGAGGAAGCAACCCAGCAGCCTATTGGAGACCCAGGAGAGGTCAATAGGTCAGCATCCTGGCACCCAACATCACTTCCTTTGTGGCTGTGGGCAAGACAATTATGTAACTTCTGATGCTCTTTCCACATATGCAAAATGGCTAGTGACATGCTAGGTTTAGACTAACTCAAGTGCTCAGAAGTGATGGCAACTGCTGGCTGAGCCTGAGTTCACTGACACCAACAGCAGGGCAAGACTTAAGGAAGCACTTCATCACATGCTACACTTGTCTACCACGTGCTACAACTGATTCACCCTGAGATGCTGATGGCTGTGGCTGGGCTCCAGCTCAGGAAGATGCAAAACTAGTAGGTGTGGCAAAGATTGAGGTGATGTCATATTACAAAGGCTAGGCTACTAGTCTCAGCTAAGATGGGCTGGGAAGATGGTTCAGTGGGTATAAAAATGTCTTCCACCAAAACTGATGACCCGAGTTCAATCCTCAAAACCCACTTGGTGGAAGAACTGACCCTGTGAGGTGTCCCCTGACTTCCATGTGCATACCATAGCACACATGACCAACCCACAACACAATAAAATGTAAAAAAAAAAAAATGTTTTTAATGGGTAAAGAGACAAATCTAACATACGGTGCTAAACTGGATAGAGGATTGAAGGATCTATAAATCATTTGGGAGGCAAATGGGGAAATTTTAACATGGACATTATTAGATGACACTGTCAGGGCCTGTGAGACGACTTTGTGTGTAAAGACACTTGCTGTGCAAGCCTGGCGATCTGAGTCCCTGGAAACCATGTAAAGGTAGGAGAGAACCAACTCCAGAAAGTTGTTCTCTACTTCCACACGTGTGCTGTGGTATGTGTACCCTCCCCACATACCATGTATCACACACACACACACACATTTTTAAAAAGATACTGACAGGCTGGAGAAGGCTCAGTGGTTAAGAACATTTGCTGCTCTTCCAGAGGACTTGAGTTCAGTTCCCCACACCAACATCAGGCAGCTTAGGACCATCTGTAACTCTAGCTCCAGAGGATCCAAAGCCCTCCTGTCTTCCACTTGTACACACAGACACACACACACACCAAACATTGACACAGACACACATATTAATAAAAATAGATCTAAAAAAAAATAGGCATCATTATCTTCTGTGGCAATGAATGGTACTGTGGCATCATTATTAAAAGCATACTCCTGTGTTGTAGGGGTGGCAAAAACACATTTGCAACTTGCTATCAAATGATCATAGAAAAACGTATCAAGGGGAAGCACTCCCAATTTTTTAACCTAAGATACAAAGTTTCTGAGAGATGGCCTCCACCCTAGTTTGAATGTATATCCTCTAGTCTTCAACAGTGTTGTACCCAGCTCCCGCCCCCACTCCCGACTCATTGGTGGCACTGTTTGGGAAGGTTGTGGAACCTTTAGGAAGTGGAGCCTTGCTGGAGGAGGTGGGTCACTGGGGGAGAATCCTGAGGTTTTACAGGTTGTCCCCACCTCCTGCTCACTCTGTTCTTTGATTGGGGATGCAATATAACCAGTGGACCGCAAAACCTATAGGACTTATGGAAAAAATGGGCTTAGAGGTCATATCACTCAAAAACTCTAATAAACCAAACCAGTGGCAGTTTCATTATGTATGAAATGGTAAGAAATACACAAATAAGCATTCATTTTGAAAAACTCTGCAGTTTGCCAGCATATGCCCACTGTGGGCAGAGGAAAAGATTGAGAAGATAATGATTAAAATGGAAAATTTAGGAGAGAATAGCAATGGAGTATGTAGCACAGGGCCAGGCGGGGGCTGTGCACACTAGGGAGAAGGATGTGCCTTGTCCATCTATGAAGCTCCACTCGCCGGGTACACCTATGTCTCTTCACCTGGCATTTGCAACAGGCAAAATGTTGCACAGGACTGTCCTCTGACAGGCCATAGACAAATGCCATTTTCCCAAGGTTATTTGCACCCCCTTGTCTAGCATCACCACAGCTAAATCTGTTGACTGTTTCCACTCCACAAGACAAGAGGAGCCAGGAGAGTTGGCCACACCTTCCAATAACCCAGTTGGCCCTAGTTGCACGAGGGGGAGGGGCTGAGGATATATAAACTGAGGAGCAAAGGGGAGGCTCTCTCACCATTTTGTGTGGCTGTGGGGAAGTTACCATCCATGCCTGAAGACTTTCCAGTTCCGTCTTAGGAGGGGAGCACCCACACTTCTCTAAGTAAACCCTCACCCACTGCTCTGTAAGTAAGCCCAATAAATTCTCTGGTTTCCCAGACTGCAGTGTGGTGAAACCATATCTCAGTTTGTTGTTGGGACAAAGGGAGGAGGGGGCAGATGTTGCCTATGCCTCCCAGAAGGAATTTTAGCGACACAAAAACCACACACAAATTCTGCCACACTCAAAACTTCTTAAATACATCTCTGAAGAAATCTGGATTAGAGAACTGCCCATAAGGCAATCCATCTTCCACCAAGCCCATCTGAAGATCCTCCATTGCCTTCCTCAACTAGACTCGGTTGTTTGCTCAAGGAAGCCCTCCTGAGTTTTACTACTAGAAAGCTCTAGCACTTTCTGTATGTACAAGTTAGTAGATCAAGACACTAGAGACAGGTGATTTATTTTTAGTTGCCATGCTGGTCACTTAGGGCTCACATCTGGACAAGCTGGTCACTTAGGGTCAGGCAGAGCAGCTTTGTGTCAGCCATGATCTATCAACCACCCACACCAACTCAGGTAGTCTCTTTCAACTTTGTGATCAGGATGAAATAAGCCCAACATGCACAATTTCCCCAGCACAATGTTCAATGACAAACTCTTCTGTACCAATCTTTATGTATTTATTCACACATTTGATAAAAATGTCACCATTAGGAACAAAGTCATTATGACATAAGTAACTTTACAGAGTCAAATCACCGTTAAGTCAGAACTAGGGGCAACCATAACTGCCTAGCACCCATACACGCCTGCACGCACAAACACACGCAGACACACATACACACTCACACACTCATACATACCATTCACCATCACAAACACTAACTTCAGACATAACCCAGGGATTCCTCCCTGGTTTCTGTCAGGTCTGGAGAGAGAAGACAAATGCTCACTGAAGACACTGGGACTGCTCATTTATCTCTGCTCTGCCAACAACTCAAAGAAGACATGAAACACTGAGGCAGCTGGTTGTTTCCTTGGCACAGAACTGAACAGGCAACAAGAAGGTTAGAAAGAGTTTTAAGTTTAGTCCCAGATTTAGTTTCCTTTTTCAACACAACAGGGTAGCAAGCAGGGGAAAGGAAAAAAAATCAGGATTCAAACTCCAGGAAAAAGGGAAAGGAGGAGGATTTAACACTTGATCCCACCCGATACCATCTGGTTGTGACCTTATCTAAACTGTGTGGCTTGCTTTTATTTTGGCTCTGGAAAGAGGAGGAAAACTTTTTAGAGGATAAAGAGGGTCACATACACCACATCTCTACCACCATATTGGTACTGGGGCAAGATTCCATCTATTAGCCCACATGGCATGCCTATAGCTCTGAGTTCTGAGGGAATAGCACAGCCCTCATCTGCTGCCTTTAGCCTTCTAGGACAATTAGTCAAATCTGTAGTGGGGAACTACCAGAACAAAACACTGTATTTTTCAAATAGGACTATGGAGAAATCATGCTCAAATCCCCAACTCCATTTTGTTACAAGGGTTTAAAAAATTAATGTTTAAATGTGTTTTGTGCACTTCCACTGACCCTATCAAAACACTGATGATCTATTAATAGAAAGCTATTGTCTAAAGTATCACCAGTACTCCCAACACATGGGCTAAGGCTAAAGAGGAGGCAATGATCCAGTGAGCACAGTGCATAAACACAGAACGGTCAGTTCAGATGAAAACAGCTTTGAATCAGATGAGTCAAAGCAGTAGTATTTTGCAGGTGGGGAAATCTCTTGGTACAAAGTTTGTGTCTCTAAGGATAAAAACAAGGTGAAGACAAGGCACTTAGCATGGCCAAGTATTGTTCACACCGATTCACCAGACTGTTACCAAGAGTACTCCCAGTGACCCTTCACTGAGAAACGGGGCCAACCACTCTCCAGGTGAAACTGCAGAACTGAAGGACATCCAGAGCGCTGTACAACCAATGATGGGATTTGGAATGTCAGCAAGGAAACTACTCAGAGGAAGCAGATGGAAGCCATCCCTTTCTGGCCTGAGGTGAGAGGTTTGTTCCAGATTAGCTCAGCAAAATACAGAATTTCAAAATGGTTGGCTTGAGGATATAACATTTCCACAATGCCACTGTCTTCTGGTAAAAACATAGGGCTCCAAATGGAATCAGACTCCAGTTAGTGAATTATCTTGCACTGATAGTTACAGCAGGTGCCTTCTAATACATGTGGCTTGTCCCTGTCCTGTAGCAGAGAGCTGAGGGGCCAAGACAGGGCCAGAAGGGCCCATCTCTTCTTATTCCTCAGGCATACTCAATCCGAGCCGGGCCACAGCTACCCTCATTCTTCAGCTCCGGGGACTGAGCAGTGGCCTTGGACTCACTGCTCATTTCCAGAGGCTTAGCTGAGATGTAGTCCTTCACTTTGATCTCCATGTTCTTGGCTTTCAGGGTAGCCATGTGCAGCTTTTCCAAGAAGTCTGGCATGCCTGTTAGGACACAAGGAAATCTGGTTAAGCCGACATACAAACCAATGGCAAGCTCAAAAACAGAAGGCCCTACCCTTTGATGCTCACAGAGACCCAGTGCTTCTTTGGGGAAACAACAGCCTGAATAGCAACCTGAAAGTGACAGCTTAGAACGCTTCCCTATGCACAGGCTGTGAAAGCCACCCACGACCTCTGATCCTTCAACCAGGCCACTGAAATCCAAAAAGCTCTTTTAGGTGATTAAAATATCACTTAGTGACATAGTAAAAAAAATAGCTGCCATTTAATTCGTGTCAAACAGAAATGCCTAATCCCCCATCCTCCTGAGGTATAAGCAACTGCTCACAGAAAACAGGAAGAAAGTAAAGCACATGAGGAGACAGGCATGGTAGCACATACCAGTAATCCTGGCAATCCCAACACTTAGGAAGTTGAAGCTGGAGGATCAAGACTTTAAGGCCAGACTGGGTTACATGAGATCCTCTCTCAAAAATAAAAACAAAAAACACACACACTAAAAAAACTCAAAACAGGGACTGGAGAGATGGCTCAGTGATTAAGAGCACTGACTGCTCTTACAGAGGATCTGGGTTCGATTCCCAGCACCCACATGGTGGCTAACACCCATCCATAACTCCAGTTTCAGATGATCTCATGCCCTTTTCTAACCTCCTTGGGCATTGCAGGCACGGGTGTGATACATATATGTAAGCAAGAGACTCATACACATTTAAAAAATGTTTTTTTTAAAAAAAAAAGACTATATCACATGAGGATGCTTTCTAAAACAAGATGTTGAAAGTAAAGGGAGTGGTTACAGCTGTGATACACAGCCTTTGTTAAACAGGTGGTAGCCCTTTCCCTAAGTGACTGCCTCACAACTAAGTTTTCTAGGATAGATCTTACAGCCTTCAACATTTTGTTTTTAATCAGATAGGATCTCACTATGTTGCCCAGACTGGCCTTGAACTCTTGATCCTCCTGCCTTAGGCCCAAAGCTCAGTTCAAACCAATGTGTCACCAACCTGGCCATTCAACACTATAGGTTGAGCAAAAAAATTAAATAAATCAATGCACAATGTCTGTATTTAAGGCACTGAAGCAAGTGTTGTAAAAACTTTCCTCTGGGTAAAAGTTCCTTCCTGGAACCCTGTGCTTCCCAGCCCTTCAATTCACACCAGAGGCTAGAATGAGGTGGGAAGGCTATTTAAATTTCCCCCAATAGGATTTCAACATGATAAGTATTAACCCTTCTGTTGTCACAAGACAGAAAAACAAATCACTGAACCCAAGTTTAGGCCCTGTAGGCACATCCCCACTCACCACTGGAAACCATCCAACTGACACAGTAGCGAGGGAACACCGTCTGGGGATTGTCACTGTATGTCAATAAGTAGTCAAAGCCATTCTGGAAAAGAAAATCAGCAAAGATGAGGGCCCTTGCTATTACTCACTACAACCTCCACATCCAGTACCACAGGATAACCATGATCTGATTCTGGAGCAAGGAATGTATTTCTTTTTAACCCTGTGCAGAAAAAAATTCACCCCAAAGGCTAGAGACTACTATTCACAGAAAGGCTCTTGACTCCAATCCTCTTGCTCCCAGTAGGTAGTTCCCTGTGCCCAAATAATGACAATATATCATGTGGCTTCTATGGTACACGAATTTACTTCATATGGATCCAGAATTTGAGTGCATGTTAAGTAGAGGATGCTATGTGACTAGCTTCCAGTAAAAACTCTGGGTGCTTAGTCTAGGAGGTTGCTGGCCAGAAACATCCCACAAACACTGCTGCATTTTGGTGCTGGAGAAGGAAGCCTCACATGGATTCCTCCAGACTATTCCTATGTCTTTTCTCCTTTAGAGTCTGGCTATGCTTCCTTACTAACATCACTGCCCTAAATCTTAGCTAGGGTACAACTATATGCTGAGTCCTGAAGAGTCTTTCTAGCAAACCTTCAAATATGGGTTAGTCCTGAGGACCCCAGCACAGATCTTCAGTTTATAGTTTGAAGTTTTTTTTGTCTTTTTTTAATTTTGTATGTATAAGTATATTGCCTGCATGTATTTGAGTACACCTGTGTCGTGCAATGCTGCGGAGGTCAGAAGAGAGCTTCAGGTTCCCCTGGAACTGGAGTTAAGGATGGTTTGTAGCTGCTATGTGGGTGCTGGGAATCAAACCCGGGTCCTCTGCAAAAGCAGTCAGTGTTTTTAACCTCTAAGACACCTCTCCAGCCCCACAGTTTGAAGAGCTTAATTATCACTTTCTATTGCCAGTGATAACAGTAACTGCATTTATACAACACTATGCAATCTGACCTGCTCCAAGTCCTTACTGTAATCCTCAAATGCAGGTCCATTTGTCCTCCATTTCACAGAAGAAGAAACTATACAAAGAAGTAACTTTGCCCAAGGTCACTCACATATGAAGTGAGAGAACACAGAACTCCAACCACTGGCCCCAAGCACCTATTGCCTTTTTGGCTATACCATCTCCTACCAATTCCAAAAAGGGCCCAGGATTATAATTTTTTTAATATTTTATTATTTTTATTTCATGTATATGAGTGTACTGCCTGCACTGCTCTGGCAGGTCTTCTGCAAGATAGCCAGTGTTCTTACCGCTGAGCCATCTCTCCAGCCCCCAAGGACCCAGGATTATTAAGGAGACTTAAAGTGTTCTCATCCTGCTGGGTAGGATGGTGGCACACACCTGTAGTCCCAGAGCAACTAAGCAAACAGAAAACAAAACATCCTGGCCAGGAATGGTGGTGCATACCTTTAATCCCAGCACTCAGAAGGCAGAAACAAGCAGATCTCTGTGAGTTTGAGACCAGACTGGTCTACATAGGAAGTTTCAGGCCAGCCGGGGTTACATACAGAGACCCTGTCTCAAAAGCAAAAAACAAATAAAGATTCGAAGAGAAGTCTAAACCAACTATGTTCCATCTGAAGGAGTAAGAACAACTTTTATAGCTGTATGTTTTTCTTAAAAGCAGAATGACCACATCTAGAAGTTATCAAGACTTTGATGTTTTCACTACAAAGTCTACCTGCCTCTGCTCAAAGTAAACCATTTAACTCTTTTTTAAAATATTCCTTTTTATTTTTTATGGATATGAGCATATCACCTGAATATATGCAAGTGTACCTGTGCCATGCAATGCCCACAGAGGTCAGAAGAGGGTATCAGATACCCTGGAACTGGAGTTATAGACAGCTGTTAGCCACCATGTAGGTGCTGGGAATTGAACCCAGGTCCTCTGCAAGACCAGTCAGTGCTCTTAACTGCTGAGCCATCTCTCCAGCCCCCATTTAACTTTTTATTCATTTTCTCAGTATATATTTGAATGCCTGCTCTGTGTCTAGCATTGTGCTGGATAGAGCACAACAGACACATTCTCTAGTCCTTGCTTTCAGGAGCTTCTGATTATGAGGATAAAAATACTGTATCTTAACTCAGTGGTAGAGCCCTTTCTTCAAATGTGTGAGGCCCTAGGTTTGATCCCCAGTACCACCAAAAAAATTTAAAAAAAAAGAAGAAAAACACCCCACAAAGGGTGCCCTAAATAGAAACCCACATTAAACACTGTGGAAGTAAGCAGAAAAGAGAAGTAAAAGCCACACAATAGCAATCCACCACAAAGACTGTTCAAATTCAGTTCATGTAAATAAAACTTTAAGTTATTTCACCCACAAAACAATTGGATTGGGAAGTCAAGAGACTGCAGTTTCATCCATGACTGTTTACACTGTAGAAAGAAAGGCAAACATGCAAATAATGGCTATTGAAGGGACACAGAAGGAACTAGGGAGAATAGATAGGGATATAACCTAAGTCCTCTGAATATCCTTATTTGTAGATTTGACTTTGGAAATGCCTACTTTTCATAATATAATTTTAAAAACCGCTAAATTTAAAAAGCATAACAGAAAATCCCAAAATAGAAAGTACAGAAACCATTGAAAGGGATGTGGAGAGAATGGCTAACAACTACAATTGGATAGGAGGGTAACTTATGTTTTATAGCACAGTTGACAATAACTAATTTCAAAACAGCTAGGAGGCAAGATTTTAAATGTTCAACACAAATGGTAAATGTATAAGATGACAGACATTCCATTCACTTTCATCTCAGGACACATTATATATATGTGCTGAAATATAACCCAGTATCCCATAAATACTGTACTATGTGTTTATTAAAAACAAAATTAACCTAACTGTAACTACAAACATAAGACCTATTTCAAGTGACCTTAAAACTAAGTGTGATGGAAGCCAGGTCCCAGCACTCCAGAGTGACAGTAATAATGTGAGGACTACTTAAGGAAGACACATTATGCCAACCTCTGGTCTCAACATACACACATAAACACACAAAAAAGCATACAAATAAAACTTTTCACTTAACTATATTTTCTGAATAGGCCTAGAAAAATGTACAGCACCTAATACCTATTGAGTAGTCCTAGCAGACAAACTATATTATTCCTTTGTTTTATTGAGACAAAATCTCACATATCCCAGGCTGGTCTTGAACTGCTGATCCTCCTGCCCCTACTTCTCAAATGCTGGGACTACACAGGAGTAGGCTACCACATCCAGGTGCAAAACTGCAGTATTTAAATGCCATTTTCCATTAAAAGGTATTAGGACTCCCTAAAGAAACTCTAATTTTAGGTTATAACTAAAAATATACAAGATAATCCTGAAACAGCCCCAGCTGGCCTGGAACTGGCTATGTAGACCAGGCTGGCCTCCCTCTGCCTCCTAAGTTCTGGGATTAAAGGTGTATACTACCATACCTGACCTATGTCTTTGTTTTATTATTTTTATTTTATATGTATGAGTTATTCCTGCATTTTGTGTACCCGTGTTGTACAATGCCCTTGGACGACAGAAGAGAGCATCAGATCCCCTGGAACTGGAGTTTCAGATGGTTGTTAACCGCCATGTAGGTGCTGGGATTCAAACCCAGGTCTTCTACAAGAACAGCCAGTGCTCTTAACTGCTGAGCCATCTCTCCAGTCCCTATGTATTTGTTTTTTGAGACAGGGACACAAAATGTAGCCAAGACTTACTGTAACCTCACAATCTTCCTGCTTCTACCTCCCAAGTGCCAGGATGCAAAAGCATGCTCCTCCACAACACAACACATTATTGTACTAAATGAAACAAATCAAGCACTTCTCTCATTTCCCTTTCCTATATTAACTATAGGAAACCAAACAGCTGAACATAAAAATCTTCTCCAAAGTATTTCAATTAATAAAGAACAAAGGCGTTGAGGTACCAAATGACCCAATTAAAAGATGGGCTAAATAGCTAAACAGAGAGTTCTCAAAGGAAGACATAAAGATGGCTAAGAAACATCTAAAAAATGTTCAACATTGTTAGTAATTAGGGAAATGAACATTAAAACCACCCTAAGGTATCGCCTTACCCCAGTGTTAGTAATTAGGGAAATGCAAATTAAAACCACCTTAAAGTATCACCTTACCCCAATCAGACCTGCTAAGATCAAGAGAACAAATGATACAAAATGCTGGTGAGGATTTGGAGAAAGGGGAATCCTCATTCACTGCTGGTGGGATTGCAAACTTGTGCAAGCCCTATGGAAAAAGGTAGCTTAAAAAGCTAGAAATTAATCTACCATATGACCCGGTTATACCACCCCTTGGCATATACCCAAAGGACTCATCCTATTGGAGAGACACTTGTACAACCGTGTTCATGGCTGCTCTTTTCACAATAGCTAAGAGATGGAAGCAACCTAAGTGTCCCTCAACTGATGAGTAGTTAACAAAAATGTGGTATATTTACACAATGGAGTTCTTTTCAGCAGTAGAGAAAGATGAAATAATGAAATTTGCAGGTAAATGGATGAATCTAGAAACTGTTATACTAAGTGAAGTACAACTAGGCTTGTTGATGGTTGTGCTCATTCATTAAAGGCGAGCCAAGCAGGGTCATTGGACCCTCACCGGATTATCCAGCCACTCTTCCCAGCCAACTGTATGTAATTTGGCCCTAATTACACATGGCCTCCTGGATTTGGGGAGACTTAAAGTATACAATCTGGGTAAGGCTAAGAAGAGAAGGCTTGACCCATGCTGGGTAAAGGCTTTCCAATGTGCATACTCTCCGGTCATACATACACCTCAGCAACCCCTCAGTTATCTCAAGGCCTTTGAAAGGGAGCCTACACTGCTTCTAAACACTCTCACAGCTATCAAAATACCAGAAAGCAAATCCTGAATCCATCTTTTGTCAGCCAAAGAAAAATGAGGAGAATCCCAATAAAGGCATTTTTTAATCATTTATTTTTTTAATTTTTAATAACTATGTGATTAGAAGAAGCATTTCATTACAGCTTTTGTTAAAAGTCATGGGAATGGAG